TTTTATTTTTTCGATAGATACGGCCACAATCAGCTTATTTTGTCATCGATAATTAAAAAACTTTTTAATGAACGTTTACCATTTAGCTGTGCATCAAGAAAATTGTTTATTAAAACTATATTTGATGGTATTACATTTTTAGAAATAAAAGATGATTTTAATATTAGTAAAACAAGATCTTACGATTATCAAAAAGTGGAACAAGAAGATGTTGAAAAAGCATTTTTTTATAGATATTCAAGAAGAGAAGTTGATAAAATGTAAGACGGAGAAATAGATTTAATATCAAATTTTATCAGCGAAAGATGTACAACATTTAGTGGCAAAGGAAAGAATAAACCTAAAAGATTGGATAACCTTGATGAATTATATGAAAGTTATTGCAATTTGATTTTAGAAGAAAATAAGCAAAGAATTAAAAACGATGGTTGGGAAGTAATCCAATTTCCTATTAGAAATATACATATTAATCGGAAATTCTTTCGTTAACCGGACTAGAAAAGATGGGCTTTGATCTCTCATGAAGGATAATACCTCTTTTTTGATCGGCATAGTTACTACTCACTTAATGCCTTTAAATATCCCATTGTGTGTCTCATGATCCGCTTTCATAACACTCTTGCACATTTGTCGTTTATGATTTAATTGATGGAAACGATCAATAACAAGATGGCTTTCGAATAAGAATTTCGAATACTCTGTTTGTTTAAAATGTTGCGAACCATACCAATTGTTCATCCATAGTCTCACAGAGCAAGCGTTGTCATAAATTATTGCATTTGGTATGGCAAGGCCTGTAATTTTAATGAATGTCAATAACGTGTGAATAATTCGTCGGACGCTTTCGGTCGCCGTTGATTCGTCGAAGCCGGTAATTATACCACAATTGAAAAATATAACAACAATACCGTATGTACCATTTTTTCTGTCGTTGAATGTATTACGAAATACATTACAAATTTCTCGATAATCAACTTCTGTTTCAAGTTTAAAATACATTTTCAGATAATCTTTCAGTTGTTGACTTGTCCAGTGTTCATTGTTGTCTTGTTCTTGTTCCTCGTCTTCACTATTGTTATCGTCATTTCGTTGTGTAGTGTAAACTAGTGGTGAATCAATGTGGATTTGTGGTTGATGGATTCGACAAAACGTATGATCAACATGTTGCCCTATTAAACAAAAAGAATACTTTATATTCTTGTATTGAGCTATAGAGTCATACCTTGTTGACGCCTCAACGGCGTATGTGAACAACCGACTTGGAGTGCATCAAGTTCTTCATGTCGTATCGAACACAAATCTTTCTTTGGACAAACCATCCGTGATGACTTTTGGTGTCCATCAATAAGAAAGCATTTTGAACAATTCGTTGAGCACTTAACGGATAGTGACTTGTGATTTGTCCACAAAGTGACAAACAACTTGTAGAAAAACGGGTAATATTCCACAAAATATTGATCTCGTTTGCTGTTGCTTGTAAACGTTTCAAGTATATCAAAATCCGATTTTTGTGTTCTCATGAAAATAAACTGGGCAATCTGGTATTGAATCCATATTATTTGAAATAGTTTTGACTCCATTTGTGGTGGCTTTTTCATTGGTTGAGATTGTGCTGATTGATTTCGTTTCAAAAGGGCGTCGACTATTCTGTTGTATGACATACAATATCCATCGAATGACATAACGGCATGCGCCAATGTTTGACTGAACCATTCGAATACAGAACAATGGTAGCCAACGTTTCCACCGAGATAAATGTATTGATTATTCTTAATCGAAGTATGTGTAACAGTGTTTCTTTGGTTTTTGGTTCTTTCGTAATGCATCGGACAATAAGTGATACCACATTTTGAACAATAAGATTGATATAGTGACGCTTGATCCACTGATGTGAGATTAAATATTGTCAGTTGTTTAACGTAAAAGCTCCTCATTTTTATATGGCAATTAATACACGTATCGGTAAATGGTTTTAGATTTATTACTGTTATTTCATTCGAGCTATCTAGAAGTAATCGATGTTGCTCAAGCAGTGACGACGAGTCAAACTGATGTAGAAAACAAGATGATAGCAGTGTTGAATTACACACAAGCTGAAGAATTCTTTGAATGTCCATGATGGTGTATAATGGTTTATTTAACGGTTTACGATAGGTATTATTGACAATCGACGTAAGACATTGTACACGGCTTGGGTTTTCAGGTGGTAATTGTGTGTATAACCGCGTCAGCATACATAATTCGTTAATTTCAATGAACTTTAAAACGAGTAATAGGTGCTCTGGAATATGAAGCTGTTGTTGATCTGACATAACTTTAAAAACAAAAGTAGAAAAATAGAAGTAATTCTAGAGCTCTGGAAAATGTGCAAGGCTTCGTTGAAAACGTTGAAAGCGATTCGACAAGATCTAGGTAAAAACTATGCTCGTTTTCCACCGTTGAGGCTTTTCCAACAAAGTAATTACAAAAGTCGAGGCTACTAGCAATCTCTCATAACTGATATGTTTTTCTGATAGTTTATCAGCATTATCTTAGAAATGCTGAAAAGGTGTAGTATGAAAGAGTATTTGTGTTCAGTCATTTTTACTTTAGTTTAACTTATACACATCAACAAAAAATATATAATGATAATATACAATGAAAGCGTACTGTACGACAAATTATTGAATACACATCAATAAATACAAAAACGATAATAAAAGATAAGAAACTTCATTAAACTATATTGGGATAAATATTTCATTAAAAATACTGGCAACTTGATTTATATTTATATTCATGTCTACCTATGTATAGACGAGTACCAAAACAAAATATCGTTATAAAAATTAAATAATTTAGTTAGTTAACTGTACAGATAAGTATGAGTGCAAATAAAATGAACAGTAAGAGAAAATTAAACGATATTTTGATGCCGAATATCACTAAAGACGACACACACACAAAAATACTATTCTACTTTCTTTAGTGTTTCTCGACGTGAACGTTTGACTGTATTCACTGATAATTCAGTTAAAGCTGTTGACGCTGACAGTGTGTCTCCTTGAACCGACTGTTTCAGTTTTACAGGGCGTTTTCTCAGTAGCTCGGCTTTGTTCAATGCTTGTCGAGCTTTGCTTGTTTTGGGCTTATATTTATTCATGATATCTTCCACTAAAAAATAGTTGCAAAAATAGATGTAGTTTAGTTATATTGCTGACAGTTGTAACCTGTATCTGTTAGATGGGATTGGACGTGTTTTCTACCCGAATTGTACTCCCATCGTTCTGGCGTAATGGTAACGTGTTCACGATAGAATGCGGTCGATTCGAGGATTTGCAGTGTTTCATCTGTGAGTACCCAGTCCGGCGTAATCATGATCGACTGACCAAATGCTTTTGGATGAGGTTTGAATGAATCAATATATTTGCGGTAATCACATTGCACATTTGACAATTTGACAATGAATTCAAGTTTAGCCATTTCATTGTTTTGTGGATCATTATCGGCTTCACACATTTTCAAATAACCAGAATGTTTTGTGCCTAACATGCTATTTCCTCGTTTACCGATAAAATAATTGTCGCATTTTAGCAACTGCTGATGTATCAGGAGTGCGGTGGCTGCCTTTCGGTGGCGTTCACCTTTTTTCGATAATGCTTTCCCAAGATCTGTTGGAGAAAATAGAACTGTTGGCCAGTACATAATCTGTGCAGCATAATCACGGATTTTTTTTGCATAAGCTTCCTCGTCTGCTGTTTCTGGTTTAAGAATCTTGCTCAGATCTATTAACGACTCTTGTTTGACGTCATTTCCGGGATTCTTATCATGATTTTGTGCCAAATTATGTTCATCTAATGAAGGAAAAAATCACACAAGGATGAATTATATCCACAAGTTTTTTGTAATCATAACTAAACGATTGGTGGCAGCTCATTGTTGAGCATAATTGCAGATGCTTGTTGAACGTGGTCTGGTGAGGTAGAAACACCATTCTTTAGTGGTGCTATGTTATATAAGTAGAACATTCTAAGATTACTTGAAATAAAACAGTTAAATGACGCGATTTACTTTGACCCGGTGGATCGAATACAAGACTCGTAGATAATTCGACTTCTGAAATTGAATCTTGATGTTTTGCTGCAGTTGTTGCTAAAGTTGTTTATAGTAGTTATCACAATCAATTTCGTATAGGAAGCATATAAACACATACCTAAGTCTAATGGTTCTTCGGCAGTCCTTGTTTCAGCGTTCTTGAACGGATTATCTAATAAATGTAAACTCAGATATATCGCGTAGTATCCTCTCGATGTCACTTGCATACCTTTTCTCGGTTCTGCTTCCTCTGTGACAAATTCATTACCGCCGTTATTAACATTTTCATTTTCGAATCGTCTCACTTGTTCAAATGACATCGAAGCTGGAGTAACTGAAATAGTTTGAGAAAAGTGTTTATGGCACACTCAAAGACCTTATACTTAATTATACCTTCACTTTCATCTTCCAGATTTATTTCGGATGATCTTTTGGTGGTTCTTCCTTCGGTTGACTCTTCACTAGCTACATACGAACAGAACAACATTGAGATGTAAAAGTCGAGCAGAAAAATGTTCATTCTTGATTTATACTTGGTTCGATAGAGCTCGCGAAGCTAATCAAGAATATCTAGCTTTTAAGTTTCTTCAATCAAGTTTTGTAGGAGAAATCTTGAAAACATAAGATGCTCCCAAAAATCGAATAAATTGACCAATCAGAAAAAATCTCAAATTTTCGCCTGTTTCAACTCATTTTTATTCTTTCAAAATATTTTATTCGTGTTAGACATCTAAAACTGAGTTTGAATGTCTGGCTGTCATCGAGTTTCACAAAAATAAACAAGACAAAACAAAAGAATTTCGACTTTTTCATCCCGGAATTAAAAAAAAAGAATTTTCTCAGTGACAAAGCAAGATGGAAAAAAGTGATGCGTACTTTTGTTCGCCGTCAATTAATGATTCGAATGAGACGTGAACCAAGAATAAAGCGATAGCCTTGCAGTGTCTAGATAGCCTTGCAAGATGCACGTGCCTGCTCGTCAACGGCCAGAGACTGAGTGATGACTCCGGAATCGATAGTTTTTGTGACACTCGATGACAGCCAGACATTCATACTC